GGGAACAAAGACGATGCCCACTTGGTTTCTCAATGATAAAAATAAAAACAGGAGTCTCCTTCAGGAAATAAGATCTGAATTCAAAGCCAGACCTGGTGGTACATGCATGTAATCCCAGCACTCTTGAGAGGCTAAAGCAGGAGGATCGAAAGTTTAAGCCTAGTTTCAGAAATTTGGAAACTCAGCTAGACTGTGTCTCAAAATAATCAACTTTTTGTTTGTTTGTTTGTTTGTTTTTTGGTACTGGGGATCAAATTCAGGTCCTTGCGCCTGCAAGGCAGGCAGCAGGACCACTGAGCTAAATCCCCGGCCCTGTTGTTTTGTTTTTTGAGACAGTCTCGCTATGTAGTTTAGGCTGGCCTTAACTCTCTATGCAGCCCAGGCTGGCTTCAAACTCATGGTGATCCTCCTGCCTTAGTCCCCCAAGTGCTGGGATTACAGGTGTGTGCTACCATGCTCAACAAAATAGCAAATTTTTTAAAATTTGAAGATGTAGTTCAGTGTGAAAGCCCTAGGTTCAACCCCCCAGAACCAAAAAGGTAAAAACAAAACAAACAAAAAAATCCTCTGAATTCAACACTAAGGTGCCATTAAATAGACTCTGAAAGTTGGTATACACTACTAGGATGTGTCTCATAGAGTACAACTGGAGTGAAATCTCCTTAAGTGGTCGGCTTCATACATGCCAAACACTGTAGCAGTGGCTCAGCATATTCAACAACTTTCAGTCAAGCTGCACATCCTGCTGCACACTACAGGGTCACTGTCTAGTGGAGGTAGCAAACAACTCACAGTGTGCCAAACTGTAAATGTAAAGGATGCTGGACAAGTCTGCAGGAATCTAGAGGACCAGGGAACCCTTCCGGGCAAGGTGATATCTGAGCTGAATTTTCAAGGTGACAATCTGATGAAGTGAGAGAACATTCCAGCAGAGGGAGACAGAGAGAATGAAAAATTTCAAGGGACCAAGAGATGGTCAGCACAGATCAATGAAACACCTACACAGAGGTGAGGGAAGAGAGGCCAAACCACAGCCCAGTAATGAAGTATCCTGGGGTCCAAGCTAAGGAGACCTTAGTGCAACCGCAGCGGAAGAGCTGACTGGTTTTAAATGAGAGTGACTGTGAACAGTTTAACAGTTTGAAAAGATACGGTATGACCCATCCTCTGGATTTCACCAAAAAATAAAAAACAATGTAGATATGGGGTAAAGAATAGGAAACATACTGTTAAAAAATTACCACTCTTTTCTCTCACAGATTTCTTTTATAGAATTGCCAAATTATCCTCTAAAAATGGAGAACTCAGAGGAAGCTGAGAGTGGCTGGTCCTTAGAATGTAAAAATTAGCATTACGAAGAATTAAGAGATTTTTATTAAGTTTATTGGTTACATTGTTAGTTTTAATTCAAGAAATTTGAATGTAGCTTTGATACATTTTGATCCGCTGCAGTTTTTTGAGAGTATGATTCTATAACTCAATCTTATTTGGGATTAAAAACAAACCACCATGAATTTTAAAGGCTTCACAGAGACAAGAGATCATCGGTTACATTCACTTTTAAACAGACTGAAGCCATCCCTCCCCCTCAGCATCCACTCCCAAAATTATTTAGGCCAGCCTGCCTGCCTTCCCTCCTTTCTTTTCAATACTGGGAATGGCCTTGAACTTCTGGGCTCAAGCAATCCTCCCACCTCACCCTCTCAAGTACCTGGGATGACTGGCACACAACACCATCATACCCAGCTGGATGCTTAATTCTGACACCAAAAAACTGGGCCACTTTTTTTTTTTTTTAGGAAACGACAGTGCCTTGAGTAAATTTAGCTTTATGAAAAACTCCCATATTGTCCTTGTTCTCCTGTACAAGGGTCATTCAACATTTGACGGGCCTGACTCCACAGTAGCTGAGACTCATTCTCATCTACTTTATAACATCACCCATCCCTTGTAACTGATAACAACTGAGGCATGGAAAACAAAGTGAAATAGATAACTGGACTAAGAGGACAGCCAATATTTTGGAGCTGGCCCTCTAAAGACAAAAAGGACCCAGGATACAAGGAGACCTCTCAATAGAAGCCTAAAACCCTGGTTCCTGTTAACTACACACTGTATAACATAATAAGAAACTCCTGACAGAACAGCAAGACCAGTGAGGTGTCAAGTACGTCCTACAAAAAAAAAAAGGCCAGAAGAGCAAAACACGTGTGCTGTCAGTGCACATCCCTAAATTCTTTTCTATGGTGAGTCAAGAACTTCCTTGGTGGACTGAGTTGAGGGCCCTACCTGCTCTTTGTTGGAACTCCTTGGAGTCAGTCTGGTGACAGAAAGGGGAAAGGAGACAAAATGTCAGCGAGACTTCAAAGGCTCACTGCTGTATTATCTGCATAGAGCAGCAGAGAGCACTGTACACACTAAGTACCCAATAAATATCTGTTCAAGTAAAAAAAAAAAAAAAAAATCACCCATCCCTACCCTCCTATCTTTGCGGAGACTACAGTGTCATGGAACTGGTGAGAAGACCTGTAGAAGTCTGGCAGAAGATTCTGTAGACAAGGACCCTTTTTTTTTCTTTCTTTTTTTGGTGCTGGGGATTGAACTCGGGACTTTGCACTTGCGAAGCAGGCGGCCGTGGCCAGGCACACCACTGAGCTAAACCCCCCACCCAACCGTTTAAATGTTAGGCTCCTTTCTACGCCCCCAAACATTACAAATGGGAAAATGAAAATCCAGAAAGGAAAGGTGACTTGCCCAAAGCCATAAAACCAAGAAGACAATCTCTTCAGCCTCCTGGCACTGTTACCATTCCTCTACTGAGCTGAGGAGTTTGTGTAACACTATGTGCAAGTTGCTCATGTGATTTAAACATGTCAATTGTTATATGGCAACTCTTATGCATTAAGAAAACCCAACCCTGATAGTACAGTTAATTACGAACCTATGCAATACTACCATTTGGGTCATCTGATCAAATGTACTATGTTGAGTCAGTTATAAAAAGAACCTTTGCTTCAGAGAAATCACATGTCAAGACAACACAGTGCAGGTACACATCCAAAACGTTCGAGTCTGAAATAGAAATTCTAATACAAACTCCACCTTAACCACAGCTACTACAAGTACTCTCCACTCACTATCATACTATACTTGATACTCAGATATTTGGACTGTTACCAAAGCACACAGTGATAAAGCTTTTCTATGGCACAACAATCACTGTCTTACTTAAAATGAATGTCAAGGACACCCCTATTCCTGGGTTACACACAGGCAAGCATTATAAAGCATTCTCCAAAAAAAAAAAAACCCAAAAAACAAAGCATTCTCCAGCTATCTAAACATGCTAAGAGACCACTTTGTGTATACTAAATCATAGGGGGAAATGAGGTATTTTTATTGAAAAAGTTACTGGATCAGAAAATTCAAACAAAATTTTTATCCAGACCAAAACTTTACCTCTTTCACCATATCCCTTTTTGTACTGACTTGACTATTTTATAACACATGTGTACATTTTCTCTTTTTTTCTTTTTGGTACTGGGGATCGAACTTGGGTCCTTGCGCTTGCGCAGCAGGCGGTGAAACCACTGAGCTAAATCCGCGGCCCTGTGTATATTTTCTATAACTTGTTTTAATGATATAAAAAATATAGTTAGCCCTCAGTATCCCTGGGGGATTGGTTCCAGGATCCTGTAGATAACAAAAAATGTGGATACTGAAGTGGCAAAGTATTTGCACATAACCTGCGTATACTTTACAGTATACTTTAAGTCTTCTCTAGACAATTCAATAGTATAATTTAGAAAGTATTTAAAATGCTATATAAATAGTTGGGGTTTTTAAATAAATAGTTGTTATACTGTATTGTTTAGACACTAATGACAAGTATAAAAAGTTTGTGCATGCTCAATACAAATGCATTTTTTCAAAAATTTTCCATCCCTGATTGGTTGAAAGAGAACCGACTGAACCATAGTCCCTTTGGTACCATCTATATTGGCAAAACTGCATCTTCTCACTCCAAATTTTCAGAAAACACTGCTGATGTCTGCGAAGACACCTCTGAATTCATCTCAAGTTGCATCCTCCCGAGTGACAGCAAACTGTTGGGCGCTCCAGTATTTTTTAAGATTCTTAAAGTTGTTGTAAACTTGGGAAACCATTATCAATGGTTTGAGATACTCTTCACAACAAAACGATTTTTCCCTGTTATCAACTAGGCTAGTTTAAAATTTTTATTGGCCCTTCCTGTACTTTAGAAGAAATTATCAAGGACATCCACAAATAAAAGTTCCCTACATCTGCACGACCACAAGAATTTTTGTTTTTATAAACAGGCTAAACCTACCTGGAAACTGATTTACTAGTCATCTCCAGATGAGGCTGCTCAAGAATTAACTATGCTATCTTAAACTTAACTACTTAAACCAGACAATTACCAAGTTTCTGGAAATGCAAACTTTCCTCAGCCATACATTGGATTACTCATATTTAGTCTGATACAATTAACCAGGTTATCAACAATAAAAATTTCGCCTGCTTCGAGATGCCCTGCCAAGCAAGCGCGGCGCAGCCCCTCAGATACAGCGACCGCCGCACCGCCGGGATCTGCAGCTCGCGGTCCCTCCTCCCCGGCGCTGAGCTTTCACGAGCCCGGAGGAACGCGGTCCCAGATCGGGGTGCAAGGAAAGCAAAGTGCTACGGCAGCGCGCAGCCTCTTTCGGCGCGGTGCCGAGGGTCCCACAACCACCCGGAGCCCAATACTCGCCGAGACAACCCACGGCCCCACGGGTACACTGGGCAAACTGCGGGTTGGCCTATCAGCCCGGGAAAAAGAGAGCGCAGGCGCGGACTGGCTGGGGGGCCCAGTAGGGAAACAGCGCAGGCGCGGGGCCCGCTGGGGTCTGCGGGGCTGCCCGGCCCTGGCCGCGCGGGCGGCGCTGAGGAGATAAACTGATCCGCCACCTCACCCTGAGGAGACCCGACCTAGTTCTTACCGCGCAGCACCACCTCGTTCGTTCGCTCAGCGCTGGGACCGGGCAGCGAAGTCGCCGGTAGCGCGGCCCGGATCCGTTGACTCCGGCCTCAAGGCAACAACCAACCCCGCGGCGGCTCTCGCCCGGCCCGCCCAGCCTCATTCACGGTCCCCGCCCCCAGGACGCCCCTTCCCCACCCCTCCTGATCGCAGCTGGTTGCGCAGGCGCCGTACCAGTCCCGCCCATATCCCCTCACTGCGCAGGCGCCAGTTTCCTCGGCCACTTGCTAGCGACCGACCCCTTGGCCCTAACTCTCCTGGGAAGGTGATGCGCATGCGTGTGGTCTAGCGCTGGCGCTTTCGAGATTTATACTCTGGGAGGGTCTTCTAGGAGCTGTTGACTGTGCAAGCCGAGTCTGCTAGTCCCAAATGTTTTCTTTCCTCAGCATATACTAGGTTCATCCTTAATACAGCACATATTTACAGTGTACCAAGGACAGTGCTATGCACGAGTCAGACGGTAAGAAAAACGCACAAGCCCTGCCCTCCTGGCGCTCCCAATACATCAAGGAACACACAAAAAAGTAAACAAAAAGACTAAATGCCCTTTCAAGTTAAGGAAGTTCTATTATGTCGTAAATAGGCCCATTGCAAATATGTAAGTTTTTTCCTGTTATAGTTTGAATCACATTAACAGTTTTCTTCACATCCTACAAGTTGGGTCTTGATACATTGCTAAATTACTTGCTAATATTTTAGTTAGCATTTTTGCATGTATGTATACGATTGGACTATATTTTTGTTTTCTTATACCATTTATGTATGGGTATTAAGTTTATACTAAATTCGCAACCAATTGGGAGGAATTCCCTTTTTTGCTTTATTTGGAAGATTATTGGAATAAAAAAAATTTTTAATGCTGTTGAACAATAAAATCGCCCAGGCTTGGTATTTTTCTTTTTGTTTTTTTTTTCTGTGATTTTTTGGGTTTTTAAAAATTTGGTACTTCTTAAATATACACAATGATAACACTCATCAAAGGGAATTTGTGCCTATACATGATATATCTTGCTGCTTCTTTTTTTCCCATGTCTCTAACCTCCCTGTAACCTCTCATCCCTTTCTTGTTTACAAAAGCTTTGTTTCCATTTTTTCCTTTTTTTTTCCTTCTCCTTTCTTTTCCCCCTCCCTTGTTCTCCTCAGTGGAACATTTCCTTCCCATTTCCTAATATATATTATACATTTTAGTCTTTATTTACACTTTCAATTTATCACACCAGAGAAACAAGTATTTAAACATGTGTGTCCAATTTATTTCACTTTAAGAGTACGGTCTCGGCCGGGGGTTTAGCTCAGTGGTTTCGCTCAGTGGTTTCGCTGCCTGATGCGCGAGCGCAAGGACCCGAGTTCAATCTCCGGTACTAAAAAAAAAAAAGAGTATGGTGTCACGGTGCATCCATTTAGCTAGAAATATCTCAAGCTTATCCTTCTTTATGGCAGAGTAATAATCCATTGTATAAAAAAACCCCACATCTTCTTTATCCATTCATTGGTTGATGAGCATTTGGGCTGTTTCCAAAATTTAGCTATTGAAAGTTGTGCCGCTATAAACATGGGTGTGCATATATTGCTGTGATATGATGCTTTTAATTCTTTGGGGAAGATATCAAGAAAGAGAATAGCTCGGTTGAATGGAACCTCTAGTTTTAGTTTTTTGAAGAATCTCCACACTGATTTCCATAGTGGATGTAACAGTCTACACTCCCACCGACAGTGAAGAAGGATATGTTTTTCCCCACAGCCCTGCCAGCATTTGTTTGTTGATTTCTTGATAGCAGCCATTCTTTATGGAGTGAGATGGAATCTCAGTGTTGTTTTAATTTGCATCTCTCAAATGACCAATGATGTTGAACATTTTTTCATATATTTATTTACTGTTTCTACTTCTTCATCTGAGAAGTGTTTTTTTCATTTCAGATCCCCATTTTTGGATTGGGTCTTTAAAGTTTGGGGTGGCTCTTTTTTTTTAGATCTTTATATAATCTAGATATTAGTCCTTTGTTCGAGGAACAGCTGGCAAAAAATTTTTCCCACATTGTGGGTTGTCTCGTCACTTTGTTGGTGGGTTCTTTTGCTGTGCAAAAGCTTTTTCAAAAGATGAGATCCCGGTTGTTGATTCTTTGTGATAGTTTCTGTGCGAACAGGGTTTTATTCATAAAGTCTTTGCCAACACCAATGTCTTCAAGAGTTTTACCTATTCTATCTTCCATCAGATTTAGTGTTTCTGTTTTAATATTTAGATCTTTGATCCATTTCCATTTTAGTTTAGTGCATGGTGAAAGATATAGGTCTAGTTTTAATCTTCAGTGGGTGGAAAGCCAGTTTTTTCAGCACTATTTAGTAAAGAAGCTATTTTCTAGTGAAGGTATTTGGCTCCTTTGTCAAAGATAAGTGGACTAAGTATGTTTGGAGTTGTTTCTGCATCTTCTAATCTGTTCCACTGATCCTCAGGGCTGGGTTATTTTGTTTGTTTGTTTTTGTTTTTTCCTAGTACCAATCTGTTTTTAACACTGTAGCTTTGTAGTATAATTTCAAGACAGGGATTGTGATGCTTCCTGACCTGCCTTTGTTGCCCAAAACTGCTTTCGCTATTCTAGATCTCCTCTGGTTCCAAATGAATTTTAGGATTGTTTTCTCTTATTCTGTGAGATATGCTATTGGTATTTTTATTGGGATTGCATTAAATCTGTATAACAATTTGGAAGTATGGCCATTTTCAATATATTGGTTCTTCCTGCCCAAAAACAAGGGTATCTTTCCATTTTCTGATATCCCCTTCAATCTCATTTTTCAGAGCACTGTAATTTTCCATGTAAAGGTCTTTTACTTCCTTTGTTAGATTGATTCCTAGGTATTTCATTTTTTGGATTCTATTTTGAAAGGTATTGTTTCCCTAATTTCTCTCTCAGTGAGTTTATTGGTGTACAGGAATGGTATTGATTTTTGAGTGTTGACTTTTTATCTAGCTATGCTACTGAATTTGGTTATTCAATCCAGAAGTCTCTTGGTGGAGTTTTGGGGGTCTCCTATGTAGAGTGTCATGTCATCCACAAATAATGATAATTTAACTTCTTCCTTTCCTCTTCTTATTTCTTTTATTTCTTTCTCTTGTCTAATTGCTCTGGCTAATGGTTCCAGAACTATATTGAGTAAGAGTGGTGACAGTGGACACTCTTGTCTTGTTCCTGATTTTAGAGTGAAAGCTTTCAGTTTTTGTCCATTTAGTTGTGGGGGACCACTTTATTATGATTAAGCAGGCTGTAAGCAGTGCAGGCTGTAAAGAGTTAATCCCGCAATTGGCTCATTTTAAGAAGCAAGTCTGACTGAAGCTTACGAAACTCATAGAAGCATCTCATAAGCACTGTGGTAATGTGCAGTTTAGCATGACCTTCCCACTAACGCCTCAGCAGAGACCAGAGAAATGCCCCATGAAGCTGTGAGGCTCAATATGAGATAACACAGTAGCTGAGTAACTTGTACCCAAATTCCATTCCCACAACTAAAACCTTTTTTCCTAGAAAGACAAGGTTCTATTTACAACCCTATATTTTGTCTATTCTGTTCCTAATTTGAGAATGCTTTGTCTATTCCTTTACAAGCCTTGCCTGCATTAGTATCCATAGCATGTGCACAACTGCACATCCTCGGATTTAGTTCCCCTTTACCCAAATCTGATTACGAATAAAAATCAGTGGCTTGGACTGACCAGGGCCTTTGCAGGTTGTTCAGCACTGGCAGTCCTGGCTCCCCACTTTTTTTCTTTAATTCTGTCTTTGAGTCTTTCTTCAACCCTGCATTGTACACTGGACAGGAGACTGGAACCTACTGCAGAGGACTCTAGTATATAGTATGATGTTAACTGTTGGTTTGTCATAGATGGCTTTTATCAGATTGTGGTAAAGACCATCTATTCCTATTTTCTGTAAGGTTTTCTTTTTTTCATGAATGGGTGTTGGACTTTGTCAAACACTTTTTCTGCATCTATTGAGATGATCAAATGATTTTTTTCCTTGACTCTGTTAATATAGTATACTACATTCATTGATTTGCATATATTGAAGCATCCCTGCATCCCTGGGATGAATCCTGTTTGGTCATGGTGTGTAATCTTCTTGATGATTTGCTGCATTCTATTTCCCGGTATCTTATTGAGGATTTTTGCTGCTATGTTCTTTAGGGAGATTGGCCTGTAGTTCTCTTTTTTGGTTGAGTCCTTCTCTGGCTTTGGTATCAGGGTAGTGCTTGCTTCCAGGAATGAATTTGGGAGTATTTCTTCCCTTTCAATTTCATTAAAGAGTTTGAGAAGTAGAGGCATTAGGTCTTCTCTAAATTTCTTGTAGAATTCTTCAGTGACTCTGACAGGACCTGGGCTTTTCTTTGTTGGTAGGTTTTCAATTACATCTTCAATTTCATTGACTGATATTGGTTTATTTAGAGTTTTTATATTTTCTTGATTCAACTTTGGTAATTCATATGTATCTAGGAATCTCTATTTCTCCTGTGTTTTCCATCTTATTAGAATACTGGTTCTTTTTTTTTGGTACCGGGGATCAAACTCGGGACCTTGCGCTTGCAAGGCAGGTACTGGAACCACTGAGCTAAATCCCTGGCCCTCTCTATTTTTCTGATATGGGAATTCACCACTATAAATTTCCCTTGTAGGTTTACTTTCATTGTGTCCCATACGTTCTGGTATATTGTATTGGCATTATTGTTTCATTGTAGAAACTGTCTAATTTCTCCTTTAATTTCATCTGTGACCCATTGGTTATTCAGGAGGGTGTTACCTAATTTCCATGTGTTTATTAAGTTCTTGTTGTTTCTTTTGCTGTTAATTTCCAATTTCATTGCAATATGGCCTGATAATATGCATGGGATAATTTTGATTCCTTTGCATTTACTTAAGCATGTTCTATGAACTAGTATGCGGTCTATTTTGGAGAATGTCCCATGTGCATCTGATAAGCCAGTATTCTTTTATTTTTTATTTTTTGTACAAGGGATCAAACTCAGGACCTTGTGCTTGTGAGGCACAGTATCACTGAGCTAAATCCCTGGCCCAAGCTGATAAGAATGTATATTCTGATGTTCTGGAATGGAGCACTCTGTAGACATCTGCAAAGTCCACTTGT